TACAGTAATCACTTACTATAACGTCTCTCGTTATAAAATGATACAATAATGGAATTCGTCGCCAACATCGACGTTACAGAGAGGACATATTCTATTTTCCCTTGGGACACCTGTCCATCTTCCTGTTTCGATAGGGAATTTCAAATTTGATGTTCTGAATTTAGACATTATTTCCCGATCTTTTTCCCCAAGCCGTTTCAAATATTCTCCTAAGCCAAATTCTTTCTTAAAAATAGAATAAGTATTCCCTCTGGACGATATTGCTATCACTCTGGACGATATTGCTATCAGTCAAGCACACGGTCACCCCTGGTAGGCTAGCTCACATACTGGTGTAGGTCGTGCTCACTTACGCAATTGAGAACAGAAGTATAGCGCACATTGTTGTTATTACACTGAGGTACCAGAAAGGTTGCACTACTCTCGTTAATCCAGGTGCAGTCGGGAAGGTTGAAATCACCAAATATGATAACCTCGTCGTTTTGGTATAGATTATTAAAGACATTTTCCACCGATTTCTCAAATTCGTAAATGTAGGCAATAGGGCAATCAGGTGGCAGGTATACAGAAGCGATATATAATTTACGTTGTGAAACGGTCAGTTCTATCCAAACACCCTCGAAATTGGCCTCTAAATCAGGTCTATGTATGCATTGAAAATTTGAGTTCAAGTCAAGTCATACACCTCCATCTTTTATTTTTGAAGCATTAGAAAGGTCTCTGTATTTTCTAAAAACATTATAAAAAGAACAATCGAACAACTCACTGCTAAAAATTCCGTCATGTAGCCAGGTTTCGCTAAAAGCTATATATACATATATATTTATTCAGGTAAAATAGGCATATTACAGTACACAAATATCACAGAATAGAGTAAAGTACAATATTAAAAAAAGTACTTCTATCTTAAAATAACAACATTGAGCACTGGTTAATATATGAGATCAATAGATTGGATTTTTATTATCTAAATTGCAGCCTTTTACCTGGCTTTTATAACCCAAAAAGCTAAAAGCTTATTTCCATTGGGGTCCTTTAAAAAAAAAAAAAAAATTGAGTATTGGTGTTATACATTATTTGATACATTTGTGGACATCATTCATAAAAATAAACTGCTATTCCATTTAAACATGATGGTCAGTTTAAAAGTACACATATTACTTTTCTCTATTTAAATGTGAAACAAACAGTAAAATATTCAAATAATCTAAAAACATAGAATCATATTAAAAGTACACATATTCACTTTCTTGTTTTCCTTCCATAAGCTTCTGTAGATGACTCTTTACCTTATATTTAAAAGTGAATTTATTATTTAAACTTTTGATGTTTTCAGAAATTCCAATCTTTGGTACCAGTAAAATAAAAAGTTGTAGATTCAGAACCTTTTATATTAGGAACAGTAAATTTACATATATTTGAGCGAGTACTATACGGACATGGATTCCTGTTAAAAAATTAGTTTAAGTTGCCTTGCTCTGGTATTGATATCCAGCATGTTTACACAACTAAAATCTTTGTATGACAAACTGTGTCTATGATGTCAAAGTCCGTTGGACAAAAGTTAGAATTCAAAAAGTTTATTTTGTTAACGATGTTCCTAGCATTCTGATAGTAAACCTTTAGTTCAATAGGTCCAGGGTGAGGGTCCACGTCACCACATTCCAATAGAGAGGAGAGGAAAACATACCAATAACAGTAAATGGGTCTGTTTACCTCAGCTCCTCGTAATATTGAGCTCCCACCACATGACAGCCCTCACCGCAGACTTTCAAAGTCTCCTAGGCAGGAATCACAGACATGATGGGAATCCACAATGAGCTTTGATTCATCACTGGGATTAAAAGCACATTGTAGATAAAAAGACGGTCATCGGTGTGGTGAAAACGTGATAAAAACAGAAACACCGAGGGAGCTGTAATACCCCTATCTCACCACCGCAGGATCGCTCGCGGAGCCTCGCGGTCTGACTACGGAGTGTGGCGGATCGCTGCGGTTTGATGCGGACTGGCTGGAATTTCCTCAATAGCTGCGCATAGCCACGGTGTCACTGCGGAAGGGGCGGTGTGAGTACGGAAAGCGGCGGTGTGACTACGGAATGTCGCGGTGGAAGTACGGATTAGGGCGGTGGCAGTACGGCTACTGCGGAACGCTGCTGTGCAACCACGGCAAGAGTACGGTGCGTACGGCAAGAATACGGTAAGTACGAGGAAGCGCGTTGTCGATACGGTTGGAGCGGCGGGTAAGGGGCGGATTCGGCACCGCGGACTCCGCAGGGGAACTCAGGGGGTATTTAAAGGCATTTATCTACCCAAAATCATTTCGTTTCCTGACATAAACCTGAAGACATGTCTCATCTGAGGTATGAACAAAGAAGGCAGATGATGCTGTTGGCTGAAATAGAAGTCCGGCTGCTGGCTGTAGCTGCTATGATGTTGGAAGAAGAAGAAGAAGCAGAAAGACAGCAAGCAGAAAGAAGAATAGAAATTGTTGCTGCTGCAAGAAGAAGGAGGAGACACAGACAACAGAAAATAGTGTGGGCCAGAGAGTGGTTGCTGAGAAGACCTTTGTATGGACAGTATGATAAACTCATGGATGAATTGAGAAGTGAAGACAAAGCAAGCTTCTGAAACTTCATGAGGATGGAGTCAGAGTTGTTCACAGAACTGCTACACCGTGTGGGGCCAAGGATCCAAAAGCAAGACACTTTCTTCAGGAAAGCCTTGGAACCAGGGCTCAAGTTAGCAGTGCCAATGCGATATTTAGCCACAGGAGATAGTTACAAGTCCCTGTCGTACTCATTTAGAGTTGGAGTCAACACTATCTGCAATTTCGTCCCTGAAGTCTGCAAAGCCATCACTGAGGAGTAATCCAGTGATGTCATGACTTGCGCAACTACACCTGAAGCCTGGAAAGAAGTCGATGAGGTTTTCAAGAACAGATGGAATTTGCCTCATTGTGTAGGAGCCATTGATGGCAAGCACGTTGCCATTAGAAAACCAAAGAAAAGTGGATCTTATTATTACAACTATAAGCACTTATTTTCTATTGTCATGCTTGCAGTGGTGGATGCTGATTACAAGTTTCTCTATGTGGATATTGGAGCCAATGGTGCTGGTTCTGATGCTGGAATATTCAATGACACTGAATTAAAACAAGCACTGGAAGATGACAAAATTGGATTACCACCACCTGAACCTCTACCACATGATGACCAGCCCATTGCCTACTTCATAGTCGCTGACGATGCATTTGCACTCAAAACATGGATGATGAAGCCACTGCCCATTATGAACATGTCTGTCAACCAGGGAATCTTCAACCACAGGCTGTCCAGAGCCAGGAGGGTTGTCGAAAATGTGTTTGGAATTCTGGCCTCAAGATTTAGGTGCCTACTCGGTACCATGCCACAAAGTCCACAGAGAGTCACCGACATAGCTTTGACCTGTTGTGTCCTTCACAACTTGCTGAGATTGAGAAATACTAATAATGCAGACATTCTTGTGGACCATGACGCAGATCACAACCATGATGAAGCCAATTTGCCCGACAATCCAACTCTACATGACATGCAAGAAGTCTACAGGGGAAACGCCAACAGGGCTGCCAAGTTGCAAAGAGAATACCTTATACACTATGTCAACTCAGAATTAGGAAGTGTTCATTGGCAGCAAGACACGATTTGAACTTTTCTGCCATCACAATGGCCAGTAAAACAACGTTACTACAGCAACACTTCGCTTCTGCAGACTGCGTATTTTATTATTAACTTTTTGTTAAAACAAACAGTGAAATCAGCTGAAAGGAAATGAACAATTTAATGTAATATTATTTCAATTGTACAATAATACAGTGTAATTCAGGCACCACTAATAAAGTCCAAGTGCTCTATGTAATAAAGTCAAATGCACCACTCTGTAATAAAGTCAACTGCACCACTCTGCTGCTCATTTGTCAGTATTGTCTGTGGCATTATTATTCTCATTCATTGTCATTAACAATGCCGGGGTGCTCGTGTTGAACGCCTGTCCAATGAGGGAAGGCGTCAAAGGCGCTGGGACATCGGTCTGATACGAAGAAGCGGGAGTCCCTGGCTGGTGGTACGAAGGACCTGGCTGCTGCGAAGTATCGAAAGTCCCTGGCTGGTGGTACAAAGGAGCTGCCTGCCTGCTGGTACGAAGGACCTGGCTGCTGGTACAAAGGACCTGGCTGCTGGTACAAAGGACCTGGCTGCTGGTACGAAGGACCTGGCTGCTGGTGGTAGTACGAGGGAGACTGTTGTGCCCCTTGCTGTTGCCGCCGCTTGTCCCTTGCATTCCTTTAGACTGCATGACCGTTGGGAACAACGCCAGCTGCATGTCGTTAAAGGTCTCGTCATCCATGTCAGCTGACGCGAAGTAGATCATATCCGAAAAACTTCTTCTACTGCCCTGGGCGACTGGGGCTGTCGACACCAGCTGTCGCAGGTCTCGAATGTCTGTAGCCCTGTCGATAATCTGAAAAAGTAAGCACCAGTCTTAAAGTAAGTTGACATGAGCTAAAGAGCTCGCCTGCTTGTGAAAATCCAAAGAAGCATAATAATAACAACATAAGAAGAAAACATTGTGAAGTGCATCTCAAGTGCATCTGGCTTTTCTTGTTTCACTCTCATTACCTCTATTAGAAACCACAGAAATGCAATGCAGGGTACTTACGTCTGATACAGCCGCGGAAGTTGCCCTGGAAGGTCCCCGGGAAGGTGGCCTCTATTGTGCCCTGGAAGATGCCGTGGAAGGTGCCCTGGAAAGTGCCCTAGAAAGTGGCCTCTCTTGTATCCTGGATGGTGGCCTTGTGGGAGGTCCCGACTGAATTGCCGACGTGTCTGAACTAACAGAGTCAAAGCCAGAAGGAGGGTCATGACCTCATGCAGCAGCCAAGTTCTTAGCCAGGCCACCACCTTTCTTCCTATTGCCCTCTCCCACGCGTTTCATGAAGTGGCGGATGTAACCGACGTTATCCTTGATCCATTGATCCCTGTCACTTAAAGGAGGACCTGCTCCAGAGCCAGAAGGTAGCTCCTTGGTGATTTTGCCAGCCCGGTCCCTCATCGACTTGATCCACGTTCCTTACTGCGTTGAAGTCGCTCCAAGTTCATTTGCCTTTTCTTGTTGCACTCTCAATTTCTTTTCCTTGTTCTTGTAGTCTTGTAGCCTGTAGTTATACAGGAACTCATGCTCTTTGTACCAGTCTGCCACATCCTGTTCTTTGGACGAACTCAAAACTAGTGCCTGAGCTTTGACTTTCTTGGCCTTTGCAGCATGACCTGGCTTTTGTGATTGACTTGGTGGTGCAATTCCCTGAGCTGTGCTCTCTGTGGAGGACAGAGGAGGTAGGACTGGCTGGTGCTTCTTCATGTTCATCAGATGTAGGAGTAGAAGGCTTCCTCTTGTTGGACTTTCCTCTCGCTCCTCCTCTCCCTCTTCCTTTTGGCATCTTGCACGGTAAAAGTTCCAAGGAAAGTTAAAGTTCATATGAGGTGAAGTTGTGATGATGTGATATTATGAAATGAGATGCGATGAGATGCTGCAAGGAGGTGTTGTTCTGCCAATGGTCTGATGTGAAATGATGCGACAAACAAGGCGGCCGCCTTTTATATTCCGTCAGGCAACGAACACTCCGCACTGACACCGTGCGGACACCGTGTTGGCACCGTAGACTCCGTCCTGGAACCGTATATTCCGTGGTGGCTCCGCTGGCACCGTCGACTCCGTAGTGGCACCGTACACACACCGCCAGTAGCTCCGTACTCAACGTACTGCAACCGTGTAGACACAGTAGTGGTACCGTATACCCAACGCCAGCAACGCAAGAGCAAACGAGTACGGATCGCTGCGGAGTCAGTACGGAGCGTACGGTGTCTACACGGTGTTCACGGTGTCTGTATGGTTCAAAGCGCTCCGCTGAAAACCTGCGAAAAAAATGAACATGTTTGCTTATTTCGCAGCTTCTCGCGGTGCCTCGCGGTGCCTCGCGGTGCGTACGGTTTGTGGCGGATGGTGGCGGAGCGTCGGCGGTGTCTACACGGTCCCCAGCGGTTCGCTGCGGTTCTCACACCGCGAGTCTCCGCGAGCGATCCTGCGATGGTGAGATAGGGGTATTAGCACTCCACTTGAACCAGCGGTAACTCATCAACTAGTACCTGTGTTTAACAGTTAGTCGTAGATACACAAAGGTTTTGATGATGCACCTGTTACATCTCTTAAACTATTATAACATATATGAGTATATTTTTAAAATGCTTCATATTATCATTTGTGAATTCAATTAAAATTTTAATTTATTTGAATTAGTATCTGTATTTGTTTTTACAAATGTTTCCTGAGATTGTTTTGTGAGTTTGAATTACTAGTAAACGAATCTGAATTCTATCTATATTTGTTTGACCAGTTGTCTCTGGAAAGCACTGTGCACAACCCCAGTCCCCAGTCCCCTCCCCCTCCCTCCCCCTCTCATATTAAATGTATAGTAGGCTCTCAACGGTCCAGCACTGGTGTTTATCTTATATATTCTTATGACAACGTAATGTCAAAATACTGTTAAACGCAATATTGTAGTGAGACTCATAACTTGTTTCCATATCCTGTTTCTGTTTGTACATTTGTGAATTTGTTCAAATTGTTTGTGAAATGAAAACTTGAATGTTACATTTGACGAAGTAAAACGTACCATGGTACACGTGTACCATTACTGCCAAGTTCATCACAAGGCATTGTTTAATTGTTGGAGCATCAGCACTTGAGCCATGATTAATATGATAATAAAATGACGTCATATCAAACTAAAAATGAACAATGTGAATATATATCGTTATAAAAAAAATAATTGTAAGACATCATGTTTTAAGGCAGTAAATGTAAAAGAAACCTTTTAACTATTATAGAATTTATTATGTAAGGACAAAATCCAGGAGTTTGTTAGGTCGGGGTTGCCCCAACCACCTGCTCTCTGGATTGGCACATGTGATAGTTTGTTTTAATTTATTCATTTATTATGTAAAATAGCTGTTCTTAACAAAATTATGATATGGTCTATACATTTTTACATTAAGATAATTGATCCCTGTTATGTAACTATATGTTTTTATACTGTGTAACTATATACTTGTGCGATGTAATTGTGATATATGACACTATAATAAACAAAATTGACTTGCCTTGACTTGTAACAATTGCTCAACAAGTCGCCAAAAAGGTAAGTATTTGCCTTGATAATATCAATTGATCATGTTTTTTTATTTGTAAGTTTGTTTGATTATATTGCTATATCGTCCGTAATAACAACAAGGAAACTAATAAAGAAATGTTTCCGAATCGGAAAGAAAATATAATTAACTATAACATAGCAACAAGCTGGTCCTTGTAGTCTTCACACACGTTTAATAGATCAATGAAGAGATGCTTTCGGTAAGGAATTGTCAACACGGGCCTAGCAGCAGTGTCTGCTTCTGTCATGGTTAACCAGTTCAAAAAAACCAGTTCATTTTAATATAGCTTAATGCGTTTGCAGGGCGGGTGTGTTACAAGTATTACTATAGTCTGTGTTGTGTAACAG